TGATACCTACAATATGAAAGTCCTAAACACAAACCATTGGACCACCCCAAAGGGTATCATCTGTTTTTATTGTAGTAACACTTTATTAAATCATTTATACCTATGGATATAAGTTACTTTGATTTGAATAAACACTCGATACAATCGAATAAGTATTTACCAAAAATTAAATAGGTTCCTTTGTTGTACAAAAAAAAATAAGTTAGAAAATTCGACAAAACATATGCATCATTATAAAGTAAAGTAACATATGCTTGAGTGACACCATCATTCACGTTGATTTGATTTGAGCCAACTTTTTCTTGTAAATCAACAGTACACTAATTGGATATTTTGTCCTTTTTTTCTTCATACTGATTACCATATAGATTTATCTGCCCCATTTTGCCACAATAATGCATGTTATGTACAAATAATCAATCATTACGATTTACGGATTACTTATATATTCTTCTAATTATTACTATTTGGACTGACAAATAGTTAGAGCTAATCAATTTTTATTTATTGATTGTGAAAACAAGTTCAGTGGTACCAAGTACCATGTGTTACACAAATTTGTTGAATAATGGTAAGTGGTGGTAGATTCAATATTTAAAGGTTTTGCAAGTGGTATATTATCGTTCAAATGTAGAAACGAATCGGTATCTTCAATTTTGGGATTATAAAAATTGAGCTATTATATAAAGATATATACAACTTTCGATAGTAAGCATGATATCAAGAACTAAAAAATAAGTTTTGATGTAATGAGAAAGACTATTTTTTTATTAGAGGTCTCGAAGCTTCAATATGAATTTTAGACTGCGAGAATTTTTTTTTTTAAAAAACTAACTAAAGAAATAGAGCTACAAGCTACTCTTTTATCATATAACCATTTAATTTGCCATGACACTATTTATATTTTATACAACATGAATTATATAACGACGTAATTATATGATAAGTGTAAAAATAAATTCCTTTACATTTTGAGTGGAAAAGTTAATTAAGCTTTTTCAAATTACCTTCAAACGCAATTACTTGTTTTATTATATTTTCTAATTTCCTACCAAATTTATTAGGTAAAAAATGAAAGTTGTAACGTGTGCAAGATGCATCACACTTAAACGTTTGCTGAGTAGGCCAAAATATATACATTAATGTTCAAATCATACGATTGAGCCTCCTAAAATAAGTATTATTTTAGTAAAATTCAGAGTCTATTTATTATATTATGCCTACGTAAATATTTCTAAAAAATTGAACGCTATTTTCTATATTTTATATTAGCTGAATTTGTAAGGTAATTCAAACATATTAAGAAAAATTTATAATTTAAATCATAATTTTTGAAATTATAAATATAGACCTGTAATCAATGTAATTTATCTCCTAAAAAATATTTAACTTAAAAATGAAAAGGGCAAGTTATCAGAAAAATTATAAACATTCATTTTAAACATTGAACAATAAAAAAAGAATAGAAAATAATATTAAATTGGATTGGAAAAAACATAGTCTATTTTACCGTCTAAATAATTTATTTATAATCATCTTTTAAATGACTTGATAGTAATACACTCGTTGAACTTTTTTAACACCTCCAAATCTAGCTCCAAAGCTGTGGTTTAGCCACGTCACAACATCAAAAATAGTTTTTAGTAACACTCATATGTACACTACAAACAGTATTAAAATTTTTATCAGTATTAGTTAATTGTCCTTTAATTCAATGTTGTTATCAAGGCGGGAGCCACCTCATATGAAGAGAGTTCATCCGAATCCGTTTCGACGGAAAATCATATTATTTATATATGGTTGAAATATATATATATTGAATCCCTTTCCACTACTTCATGTGTATATTTCTACAAATTTTGAACCCCTTAATTGAAAACTTTGGCTCAGCTTCTAATTGTTATAGGCTTTAGAGACATTTACGACTAATGCTAGTCACTTCTAAAAGAACATTACATATTTAGCAGTAATTAAACTATTACGATAAATTAATTATCGCTACACAAATATTTTTAGTATATATATACATAAAATTAGTAATGGTCAATTAAATACTCTTTATCAAAAAAATTAAAAATATTGAATATAAAGAAATTATACTACATATATAAGTGAACATTTCAACACTCTTAGGTCATCTAAAGGTGGGTTTAACCAAGGCACATGGTAGGATGGGTTTTTGCATGCAAAATGTGACCCACAACTGTAGATAAAAGCTTAAAGGAGGAGCTAATATTGTTAATGATGAAAAGGGGTTTGATTGGTAAATCATGGAAGAATATAATCTCTCATGCAAAATTACATAAAAGTGCGATAGAGATAATTACGAAACCTTTAATCAAACAATGTAATATTTTCAAGTGTTTTATATCCACATTAAAATTTAATTTTTTCAAATTCGTACTCAGGAAAGAAGTATTTCATATCATACCCAAAGCTCAAATTCAAAATCTCTAAATTTTAATTTATATATATAAAAAAAAAAGCCTCATTCATAATATCAATATCTTTGGTGGTATATATATATATTCTTTGCAACAATCTACAAGCAAAGTCCATTTAAAACATCTTTTCCACAACTAATTTATTAAAAGGTGAAAAAACCTAACTTTGTTTTATTCTAATATAAAAATAGTTCTTTTCTTCTTCTTCTTCTTCACTTAAATTAGTCATATTTTCACACGGAATTTTTCAATGAATTTGGTGAAAGATAAAGGACTAAAGTTGTACTCTTCACAAAAGAATATCACAATTTTTTTTTCTTTTTTAAAAGAAAGATAAACAACCACTATTACTATCACAAAACACATCAAAAAGTAATAAATGAAACGAAAATAAACTCATTATAATACTTGGACAATACTTACCTGATTCAATTTAACAAATCGAAAAAGGACACCGAAGCCTAAATTGCGGAGTTCGATCACCTACTACAAAACAAATATGTCTATGTGCCTATGCGTGTTTGCTCATACAGACGAATCTAAAATTTAAAGCGAAAATAAAATTTATGATCATGATCTTATATTTGCAAAAATATACATATTTTGAGATGAAAATAATGATTTTCATTTGAATATGATAGAACTATATATCTTAAATCCACACTTTTACCTGTGAGAGAGAACAATGGAGATCATTAGTCAAACTGGCTGCATAATATGTAAAATTAAAACAAAAACTTGAGTTGGGGGGAATGAAGCCTGGTCCGAAATTATTCAATTCATCGATCATCGAGATGCATGAATTTTAATTTGTTTGAATGATTTCGAACCAAACAACATTCCCCTCAACAAATGTTTTCTTTCTTTTGTAAGAAAAATGAAGGGAAGAGAGGGGTGGTGGGGTGGGGTGGGGGACTCTATATATATACTTATGAAATATATAGAGTAAAGAGACAGACAGAAGAAAAATAGAGTTTTTTATTTTGGTTGCTTAACGGACATGCATTCATTAGTTTTAGTTTCACACATATATATAGATATAGCTAGGCTTTTTATATTGTTTTTTCATCGTCGACTATTTATATTAAAACCTGATTAAATTCGCATTTACAGGCTTATTTTCGTACACATGCTTACCATATAATTTGTTTATTTTTTAAATATTTAAACTTAAAATTTGATTAAGAAATAAAGAATCGTAACGTTTCTATTAGTTGTTTTTTTGTATAACGTGACGTGAGCAACGGACTTTGTCTTTTTTTGTGACTCAGATGATTTGCAGTTTCCTCTTTACTTTTATTATGCCAAATATTCCATGATTATGTTTTGACACACAAAATTAAAGGTGTGTTTTAATTTCAAAAATCAAAATATCAAACTGGGATAAGGCTTAAAAAGCGTTTATAGAATCATTAAAGAAAAATAAAAATTCTACCTTGGTTTCATTTTGTAGCCATATTGACAAGTTTTTCAATATGAAAGTTCTAAAAATGACACAACTAATGTATTATAATGTATATATTAAGGGTTTATTGGTATATAAGTTTGACTATTATTTACTTATATATATATAGTTAATAATCAAAGTAAGGATAATATACTAGTAAATAGTAATTAGGTGCTTTATCGTATTAATGTGACATTCCTTTTTCATTTTAAATTCATGAAATCTCCCCTTATGTTTTCAATTAAGAATATGTTTGCTTATCCCATAAGTGACATAAGAATTGAAAAGTTGATATTCCATGAAGAGGGGTATACTAATAAGTAAAAGTTAAACGTGTTAAAAGGTATTCACTGTTTTCAATTAACTTTTGAATCTTTTCACACAAGTGTAGTCAACTTCAACAATAATTTTATTTGAATATGAGGTTGTATTTGTTGTAAATAGTCAAATTAATATTAGAACATTTCTTTTTTGGCCTCCATTATATATAGGGATAAAGAAAAAAAATTTTGTAAAAATAGTCAAATGACAGTTAGAAGGAGAAACAAGATTGAGATACTAGTAATTTTTTTATAGGCCACAGTCAACTCTTAAGAAATCCAATACTGTAAAACTGAAATTGTAAATATAAATAATATATATATATATACATACCAAGTGTAAAAGTCACACTAAGTTCAAGATTTGAAAAGCATACACAAATTTTAAGATTTGGACCTTTTTGACTGTGATTTTGGTTCAACATTTGTAAGTCATTTTTCTAACTAAAAAGTCACATTTTGCAGAATATCTACACGAACACTCGAGCATTACTTGCTTTACGCTCCATTTACATCTTTCCCCTTTAGCTTTCCAAGCTTTACATCATTACTCCTACCCAAATTGAGGAAAACAAAAGTTTACTGCACCACTAAAGCACATCTTCATGGGCCCTGTGCCTTTCATTTTGTTTTCTCTTACTAAGTACAATCACTGACCTTGTGTTCGCGCACTCGATATGGAAAAAATCATCAAACTTCCTTTTGGAGTCTCATTGCCAGACATGCTATGAGGCTGGACTGCAAAGATTAGACGAAAACAATATGGATATATTCTAAACAAGTAGCAAGTACGCGTTAGCCAATATACTAAAAATCATATAAAATAAGATGAGTATCTTTACACAGTAATGGCATAACTTACAGAAATTTACACTTATAAATTAATGTTACAGACTACTGCAAGAAAAAGGTTTTGCAGTTTAAATAAGAAGTCAATGGACAACCCTTAGAGCTGTCACAAGAGGCAAAATACAAGAAAATAAAGGATCTCACTTTATTAAAGTATGACTCACCAAAGGCTCAAGAATGAACGCTAATATCCATATTCATGTCGTCTTGCTTCTCAGTCATATATGACTCATTCGTCTCCCCTGCGTGATTGGACTCATTCTTAAAGTTGTAAGTAGCAGAACCCCGTTGGTTATTGAGACTCAAACGGTCTTTACTATTTCTAGAAGCAAAGGTGGTATTTGCATTGTAACCAGGAATATGCTGACTTCCTCTATCATAAGCTCCTACATCTTTATCCAAGCCACCTGTGTCACCACAGCTCTTCCTTCTGCAAAATTTTGGTGATTTTGCACGGGTTGGTGGTGGCTGCAGGAAAAAGAAAAGGAAATTAAAATTATAAGGTGGTTAAGTTGATAAACAGAAGGGGATGTCAAAAGATCAGTAACCTAATGTGAACTTTCTTTAACATGCTCAAAGGTTACAAAAGGGGTAAAAAAACGTCACAATAATACAGCAGACTAAAGTTATGGGTAAACCTCAACTAGAAGTTGATATTACAGTAAGATGTTGGTAATTATCATCCAGTACCTTTTTTAGTTCAGCCTTAGGTGGAGGCCCTTCATGGTAGAAACTCGGCATTGGGTTCGCCTTAAACAACAAATTCCTTCTCATTTGCTTCATAGCTGCTTCTCTCTCTTCCTAAGTTTGGAAGGTAGAACGAAATCAAAAAAATATATTGATTGATAACACATTCATTGATTCAGAAATTGTAGGATAACTTTGATAGATCTGTATTTCACTATTACATCCATGATCAGGTGACAGCAACATAAGGTGGCGCATACCTTTGTCCTTTCCTCGCATTGAATTTTCTCAGCCTCCAAAGCTTGATGTTTCTCCTCTAACTTTGAGTAAAACTGCAAGATGGGGAAAAACAAAAAGCAAGACAGAGTTAGCCAAGATTTAGATTTTTCACTTCAAGGAGAACTTGAAGTTCCTTTTCTATTGGTATTTTGTTTTTTGTTTTGATCATTTAGAGGGACAAGTATGGGGGAACAATGAGGTAAAGAACCATCACAATATTAGAACTAAGTCAACAGTTGCAATAGTCCTAAGGAGAAGCTCAAATAGACAGCTACCTCCTTCCTTCTTGCTGCACGTTCAGAGGAGCGAAATACTGGGGCTGCCGCTACAGTGACCCTGGATTTTCTTGCTGAGACCACATCACTTCTCGTTGTTGAGGAAATCATCAAATGGCAAAGCAGAATTCAATAAGGGCACACATCAGAGAAACTGAAGACTTTGTCAAATTAGATCAAAAGAGAAAGATCATACCAAGAGGCAATTGATGAGTCTTCCTCATCAGAATATTTCTTGTTATCAGATTGCGGTGGCTTCTTAAGTGCAACCGATGAAGAAACCTGAAAGAGAATATCATAGCTACAGATGAACATGCTGTATGATCTATAGACCCCAACTCCAATAGTTATGCATCGACTTCTCAGTGAAAAGTGAGCTTTCTCATTAACCAAAAGCGGAAGAAAAATAAAACATGAGGACTTTGTCACTTTTGCAAGATCAAGTGCTTCGGATTCATACTCTCTCCCTTAAATGACATAACCCAGTAGACAATGGCCAAAAAGCACATAAAGCATAGGGGAATAACCTGGTTTTGTACAGATCTTGGGGCTTGCAAATTATTTGTTTCAGATGGCTTCTGTGCAGCACTCACGTCACCTGCATCATTCCTAACAGGTCGTGTTCCATGAGAAGCACGCCTCTCAGTTGCCAGAGCAAATGGCTGGGGAACAGTGCACTTTGTTTTACAACTTCCAGCAACAGATTTGGTTGTTGATTTCACTGAAGATCTTGATCTGTCGTTATCATCTTTTACCTTTGAGCTTGGTCGATCTTGTTCCTGTCTGCTATCAAGTGACACTTCAGCTGTGCAGTCCTTCACTTCCTGCTCCTTCGTATCAACATTCTCATTCAGCATATCAGTTCTCTGCTCCCCAATGGCATGCTCAGATGACTGCGACACATCTTGATTACCATCTCTCATGTAACTTGAATCCGGAGAAACACCTTGCTCCTTTTCCATACAGGTATCTGTAACTTCTAACCCCATCAACCTCTGAAAAAAAATCAATAGAATAAGAAAGCATTATTTACAGCTAAGGGCTTCATCATGCTGGAATATCTTTCGAGTCCATCATCAGAATCGGTAAAGTAAATTGAATTATTTGTTTTTCTAGAAAAATTGCCAGTTTCTTTGTGTTAACGACTCTGCACAAAAACTACATAGATTTCTTTATCCAAACAGGTTTTAATGATCTCACTGGAAAAAATATTTGAAGTTCTAGTATCAAAAGGATTCCTGCTTTAAAAATAGGACCTCTCAATAATAATCAAATAGTTATTTATCAAAATAACAATTGAATATTTCCTCTTTTCTACATACTCAATTATATATTCATATCAAGGTTTCTATTTATTATTTAAACAACATATCCATTCTGAATAAGCAAGTGCATTGAAACTTGGACTTATACTTTTAAAAATAATCATAGGCAAAATCTGACAACTGTTAACTGTTTGCAGTTAGAGGAAAATTTATCCTCGCTTTGACAAACTAAATTGTGCATAAAATGAACTTAAAGATACCCATCTCCAGAAGCATGTTACACATCTCAGTGAAGTAACAAAAAGGGCTGAGATTAACTTTTAGGTACTAGGAATCAGAATCCTGACGTGTGTACATTGTCAAACAAGGCGGAAAAATCATATTGTTCCATGAAAACAAAGGCTCTATATAATTTCTGTAATAAGTAATGATTAAAGTCATTTCTTATCCATTAAAAACCTTGATTGTTACACAAATAAATCTCATGAAAGTAAACAAAATTTCCCTAAGATCCAGGTTATATTAGAAGTTTAATTTCGTCCATTTCCTTAATGAACGAATACAACTGTAGCTGAAGTGGTTTTATCTGATTTTGACAGAAATATATGCTTTCAGTATTTCTGAGTCACTTACTTAGCATTTGGTAATCGATGTTGTGTTTTTGAAATTAGATCAGTTCAAGCAGACATTTCTAACGAAAGTATCAAGGGAGAAGCCTTGTAATACTAAATTAATGCTGCACAGTGCAGTTTAGGATCTATGGATTGGTGTCCTAATACTAATGAAAGAAAGAGACAGAAAATTTTTGCTTCTCAATAATTAATGAAATAAGGAAAACATAGATACTCTAAAGCTTCTGAAGGGAAAGTAGACTCCATAACACCTCCACGCATTGGTTAATCCAAATTCTAAACAGAAAATATGCATGTATTTAACTATTTATACAGAAGCATATAAAAAAGACACCCTGGTGCACAAGGCATCCCATGTTTACACAGGGTCCAGAGAAGGGTTGCACCCCAAGGGAATGTTATACAGAAACATATAGCTACGGGAAAATACATATAAATAAAGACGGTGTAAAGGGGGTCAGTATAAATTGTGCCAATATCAGAACATTACACAAACTTCATGATGCCATTACATAGAAAATGAGTACCTAACTGAAATATGAAAAAGGTACAGCAAGGCTGCACCTATATTTCGCTTTTGAATATCATCACTTCGAAGCATAAATACACAAAACTTGAACAAAAGAATACAAAACTCTTATCCAGAAAATCAGAATCAGACACCTTGATGTTAGAACCCAATCTCAAAATATTTCAAAACCCCCCATTGATTCGCATTTCTACCTCTAACTCAACCCTCTGAAATTTGACTCCATTTTCTAATCAACCAAACTATCAGCAATCAGCAATCAAACTGAAACACATTTCCTAATGCAACACACATCCTCTTTCTACAGATAATCTATCAAATGTAACAGATTTCATAGATTCCCTTCAGCAATAAATAGGGATACAAGTTGTAAGTTTTGGCATTACATACTTTTTCGTTCCATTTTTAACACAATCATTACCTTCACAAAACCACATTTGCTAATCATAGCATATCATCAAAAACATATTTTCCTATATAGATCTAACCCAGAATTTACATATAACATCATACACAAATCCGATAACAAATGCAAGCAGATCGATAGTCTCACAAAAAAATATATAAAAAAAATGTACCCAAAATAACAATATCAATACAAAGATTTTTGAGAATTATCACCTTTGAGAAAGATCGATTTGTTTGCTGCTTCTGCTTCTTCCTCTTCCTTTGAAGGAGCGTCTCGCAGTTATTATTATTATTATATATAAAGTAAAAAAGACAGAAGAAAATATTTATTTTTATGCTATTTATATAGCAGAAAGAAGGAGGTAATAAAAGAAAGAAGAAGAAAAAAAGGAGCTTTTTAATACTATTTTTATTTATGGATTTAAACAAAAAAGGAAAGGAAGAATAACTAATTTTTTTGGTATAGATATATATTGATATATAATATTTAATTTTTTTTATTAAAAAAAATAGCTATAAAAATAAGTAGGGAAGACCAATTATTGATGTTTTTTTATCATTTGATTAAAAAAGACAAAAGTAATTTAAAGATTATTATTATAATAAAAGCAATTAAGGAGATAATATTGTCAAATTACCTTTCAAACATCCACGCAAATTTTGTGTTTTTAATCGCTCAAATATTGAAAATTTTGATCATTTTTATTAAATATATTTAATTTTTTATTAACTAACATAAAAACTTCTAATCTTTTTTGTCGTTAATTTTCACAAATTTAATAATTATTTGATTCTTTGAACTCGGGATGACCTGTCACCACTATAATCACTTTTAGAATATCTGCCCCTCGGGTGATCATCAGTGATGAGCATTTTATGTGCACCGGATAAACCCCCTACTATATAATAGTATGTTAATCATACATGAAATAATTTAATTATTGTCAGATTAATTTTAATTGTTATTTTATATTTGAGGGTAATATAATTTTAAAAATAATCTAAATACAATATATATTTTAATAGAAACTAAAAATATACATTATAACTAAATCAAAGTAAAATATATTTAAATAATACATGTTATTCTAATGCTTTCTCTAAATAAAATAATCTCTTGTGTATATATAATATAAATTATCAAATACTGTTATTTTAAGGAAATCTTATTATGTAATGCTAAAAGTGATTTAGCTTATTATATTTTTATTAAGAAAAAAATGAATAATATTAGCATAATTAATCTTGACAAACCAAGTAGATTACAGCTAAAAATCCTGAAACTTGACTCTTTAACCATAAATAGTTAGAAGGTCCATAAGAAATCATAGCTTTAATTTGATTACTATTTGCTAACCCTTTTGATAAGGCCTCACAACCTCCTTCTAATTTTAATTTTTCAACCCCACTCATTTCATTTAATTCTAATTACTCTTTTGATTATTTTTTAACAAATATTTAAGAGGTAGGTTCCACTAACAATGTTTAAGAAATGTTTGTGGACTATTAACTATATCAATATTTTGTAAGATGTTATTAACACAAGTCTCTTCTCATTTTTCTATAGATTCGTGAAGCCTAGAAAAAATTAGATTGTGGATTGCAACAATCTCTAAAGCAATTGAGTTTATTTGGTACTCAATTTTTCATAACGTTTGATTGATCAAAATATTTTTTAAAAAATATTTTAGAAAAATAAACTCCTTAAAAATGATAAAATTGACTTATGTAATGAAATTAGAAAAAGTCATAAGTGACATTTCAAGTTCATTATACCTCTCCCTACCCGTCCAACATCTCCAATTCCCACCCCTCGACCATTCCAGCCCCCACCACCCTCGAACCCCCATTCCTTGTCTCATCCCCTCATAATTCACATACTGTTTTGTTAGATTATATATAAATATCTTCCTTAAAACAAGTATAATTAAAGTTAATTGTTGAGTTGAAATGCTAGAGTTAGTCCACAAGATTATTAAATTGTAATTAGAAATCACTCTTCATAGTTTAACGAAGTTGGTTGGAAATCCTACACATCCTAGGTCATTTTTTACTCTCTTGAGCAAAGAGATTTTCCACACAAATAACTATTTTACTCCTTCTGTTTTATAAAAAATGGTTTATTTTGACTAGGCACGAAGTTTAAGAAAATAAAGTAGACTTTTGATCATGCGGTCCTAAATTAAAGTTATGTCAAATGTACAAAATTGTCCCTTAATCTTGTGGTATTAAACATGTCACGTGGAAAGTTGTTACCAAAAAAGAAAGATACCATTCTTTTTGAAACACACTTAAAAGGAAAGGAAGTCATTCTTTTCTAAATGGAGGGAGTATTATTTTAGACGAACTTAAATAACCTAGTTCATCAAGAAAATGAAAAATGATATGATATACCTCTCAACTTTGCTACTTAGAGGTGATATATCCCTCGTTATGAGGTGACTCATATATACCCTTATTCTTATATAAATGACCCACCTATATCTTTTCCTCTAAATGAAGTGAAAAAATTAATTTAAATTTAATTTTCTAAAAAATATATAATTGATCCTCTTCACACTTTTTTTGTGTTTAAATTTATTATTTTGATGCTCAATTTATTCATATTGCACTAATTTCCTTGTAAAATTTATCATAAATGCTCAAAAAAATTTATAAATATAAAAATTAAATAACAATATAGCCGCAAAAATATTTAAATTATAACATAGTACACTAAAGAATAAATGAAAAAATAAGAATAAGAAACTCAAATAATGAAATCAAACAAGTAAAAAAACAATTTATGTATGAAAAAAATTAAATATACCTTGAACTTGCGAGAAAGATTATATTTACCCTACACGATTATTTTTAAAAAATAAAAGTCAAAAGTATAAATAAAAAACTATTCTTTTACTTTCGTCGGATGAAGAGTATATGTGAGTTACTTTTGTAATGGTAGAGGTACATTTGTTTGCCACATCCCAGTTATTACATGTGTACTGTTTGATTGCACAAGTATAACCATAAGATGATATTGAATTTTAAAAATAAAATTAATTATCTCAGATCAAAAAATTATATTAGACAAATAAGAACTTTTATAAATAATATTAAATTGAATATTTAAGAAAAATATTATCTTTTAACAATATACTAATTAATAAACATATGTTCTTAACTAATATATTAAAAAAATTAATTTATACTTTTCAATTTAGTATATTTTAATTAAATTAATTACATAAACTAAAAGTACAAAATTTATATAAACATCATGACGTACATATTTGATAAAAAGAATATGAATTATTAAATAATAAATAAAAATATATATTTTTAGAAATAAAAATTTAAAGAATTTAAAATAATAGAAATTAAAAATACATTAAAACAAAAATAAAAATAAAAATAAAAAATAAACGGAAGGAAATAAAAAGTAGTTAGCTTGTAATTACACCATGTAAATTACCAACAATTCATAACCTCCCTTGTGAATTGGAAAATGTAATTACTCTTGTCCAGGGGGATCGACAGTGTTAAAAAAAAGACATGTGCCCTAAGACTCCTAATTTAAGGGGGGCCTCATTTTTAATAATAATAGGTTATAAGTTATTATTTTTTAACAAATGTTGAATATTATTTGTAGAAAAAGTAAACTTTTCATAAAAATGAAGAAATTATTATAAGAAATTTAACATATTTGGAGTACTATATTTCGTGAAAAATAACTTAAAATAAGAATGGTTATATTATCAATTGAAAACTAGAAAAAATCAATTATATAAATGTTATTAACAATTCAAGTCTAAAGTCCCGTTTGATTTTCGCCTTAGACCACTAATATGCTTGAGCCGCTCCTGCTGAGTCCTGTCAATTATACTCAATTATCTGCTTACCAGATAATTACATGGTCAACCAAACAAGACTGACAATGTGATTACACTCCATCAGACCAAATCCAATTATCAGATGACATTCCAAACATGCAAATATATTTATATCAACAACAACAATAACAATATCCCGAGAAATCCACTAAGTATGCACTCTCACTAAGTGATGAGAATACATATCTTACACGCTACCTCGTGAAGGTAGAGAAGCTATTCATGAAAGATATCAGCTCAATGCATCAAACTCAAGTAAAAAAAAAGAATCAAATCCAAATAAAACAATAAAAAAGCAAGCTACGTCAAGAACTACAACATACAACATTAAAAAAATGTTTTAATTGACTTAAAAATTATTTGAATTTGACTTTTTATTTTTATTTAAAAACTACATATTTTAAATCAATCCAAATAGACAAGCGAGACACTGACAAACCTAAACCTTCACAAAATAAGATATCACTCCACTCCTCCTTATACACGACCTCTACACTTTTACCTATCTAGAGTGGTCTCCTCTTTAATATGAAGTTGCACCATAAACCCAATTATATTTATATCATAAAATATTTTTTTCTAAAAGGTTCCTTGTACCTCTTCCTCCCAACAAAATGTGAATGACTGCATTTCGCCATAGATTTTAAAATATATTTGCAAGTATTATTTAGTAAAAATTTGGATGAATTTTCATAATGTGTTTGATAATAGTATTTGAGAAATATATTTTACTTTAAAAAAAATAATAATTTATACACATAATTTTTTTAAAAAAACTATTAAAACTAACCATAAATTTATATTACAAAATAATTGGATCTTCGTTGCAACAAATAACAAGTAGTGTCCATAACCACTAGAGCAATGCATTAGTTTGGAGTGACTGCAACAAGCATCAATCTATACATTGTGACGTAGACAAAACACATGACATTCTTACAATGAGCTGATTGTTCATCTTTTTCATTAACAACGACATCATCACTTTCATATTCATTAAATATTTCATCACTACTTTTGATGTTTATGTAAAAAATTATATAATATAATACAAACAACTAACATAGAAGATGTTTTTATAAAAAATATAAATTTGATATAAAATTTCAATTTAAATAATGAGATTTGAAAAATATTAAAAAAAATTAATATTTAAAAATTTAAAATATTTATCAAATAATAATAAATTTTATAAATAAATTATATTTATCAAATTTTCTACCAAATATTATTTGAAAAATTAATGCCGAAACGCCAGCGGTAGGACACAGATAATAAGGCGCGGAGGGGAGTTTCAATTTTGTTAAAGCTTCCATAGCACGAAGCCACAGTGTGAGTTGAAGAAGGAGAAGCCATCCCTGTCAATGGGGTCACCAAGTCCGAAACACACATGCCTCAAACTGGTAATATCTAATAAGGAACAAATATTCGTGAAAGGCACATGGTTCTCTTCTTACTTTGACCTCTTCATCACTGACGGCCTCCATTCTTGGA